CCCCCCACCCGCTGCTCGGCTTCGCCAGAAGCTCGGTAAACTCGCTAGCCGTGCCCACTGGGGTGTGCGGGGATGTGTGCGGCTCTGGTTCGTGTCCAGAGCCTTGTAATCAGTTGCTGCTCTCTGGAGGTGGGTACCTGGAAGTGGTTGATGAGAAGCTCAGCATGACCTGGAGCTTGCAGCTCAGAGACCCCCCGTGTCCTGGGGCATCCCCAGCAGCGTGAGCAGCAGGGCGAGGGAGGGGATTGTCCCCCTCTGCCCTGCTCTGGTGAGACCCCCTGGGGTGCTGCACCCAGCTCTGGGGTCCTCAGCACAGGACAGACACGGAGCTGCTGGAGCGGGGCCAGAGGAGCCATGGGCAGGGACACCTCCCACCAGCCCAGGTTGCCCAAAGCCTCATCCAGCCTGGCCTTGAACCCCTCCAGGGATGGGGCATCCACAGCTTCTCTGGGCACCCTGGGCCACTGCCTCACCACCCTTCCAAGAAAAAAATTCCTCCTAATATTTCAGTCTCCTCTCTTCCAGCTTTAAAAAGCTCTAAGCTTAAAAAAGCTGGAAGAGCTTCATGCTTTCGTATCTCTGCCTGTTGCAGACAGGCACGGGGCAGAGGGCTGAGCGTGCTTCACCTGGCTTCAGGCTTGCTGTTAAACCAGAAATATCCCTTGTTAGCCTTTCCCCTGTAATTGCTTCAGCAGATGGATAAGAAAGAGTCCCCAGAGAAGCCATCCAGGGTCGCTGCAGCTTGGTGTATAAACCCTCTCTGTGTGCTTCAAGCATCTCGTGGGTTCCAGCTGTGCCAGGGCATCTTTGCTGCCGCTGCGAGGAGCGGCTCCTGGCCGGGTGCTTCTCAGCAGCTCAGCACTCATCAGAGCTGCTCTCCTAACACAGGATGTTTGTGGGTTTTTAAATTTTTTTCTCCTTCCCGCTGCTGGAGAGAGCTGAACGTGCTTCTGGAGCTGCCTTTCCCCGCGGCTGGGCTCGGGGGATGCTGAGCCGTGGGTGCTCACGCCGCCTTGTCCTCTGCTCTCTTTCAGACCATTTCCATCGTCTACATAGTGACAGCCGTGGTGGGAGTTGAGGCCTGGTATGCACCTTTCCTGTTTAATTTCTTATATAGAGACCTATTCACTACAATGATTATTGGTAAGAAACTCCATGCTGAAGCCTGTCTTTTAAACTCCACCTTTGTAACCTAAACCCAATGTTTTAATTACCCGGTGACGCTGTT